CGAGTCAGCCGTCACCGTCACCGCAGGGGTAAGGCCGTCCCCCCACCGTCTCCCCCGCCCCCGCTGGCCTCCGGAAGCCGAGCTCTGGCATTTCCCGCCTCCAGCCCGGCTCTGCCTCAGACCTGCCTGGCACCTGGCACCGTCTTGCTCAGGCAGGCAGGAGCGTGTGGCCTCCTGCCCCCCCACCCCCAGCAGGACGGGCGGGCTTCTCTGGGGGAGGGGGGCACTGCGGAGGCTTGGGGTCACCTTCAGGCAGCAGACGCCGGCCGGCCATGGGGAACCAGAGTCCAGAGGGTGAAGCTGTGCTGACTCAGAGCTGGGCTTGCGGTCGGGGAGGGGAGCCAGTCCAGGTGTGACCCCCAAACCCCCAAGGCCAGACCCCCAGGAGTCCCAGCAGGATGGTTTCCAGCCAGCACAGGAAGTGGGGGAGGGAGGATTGCGGCGCCTGTGCAGTGTGTGTGTGTGTGTGTGTGTGTGTGTGTGTGTGTGTGTGTGTGTGTGTATGAAGGGGGGCTAGGCAGGATGGAGCAGTACCACGACCTTCTGCATCCTGTATCTGCCTTCAAGGCTTTGGGGCCACTGTTTCTCTCTCTCTCTCTCTCTCTCTCTCTCTCTCTCTCTCTCTCTCCAGTCACCCACCTGTTACTGCTCCCTTGAGACAGCTATGAGGTCACTGCCATCTCCTCTCTTGCTAGCCCAGCTACCCCCTCCCTCCTCTGTCCGCTCCCCTCCCCCCACTTACCCCATGAATTGTTTTGCTCTGCCCAAAAGCTACTGAGAATCTTTTTTTTTTTTTTGGTGAAGGAACACAGCTGGCAGTGCTCGGGGGTTACCCCTGGCTTTGCACTCAGGAAACACTCCTGGTGGTGCTCTGGGGACCATATGGGGTGCTGGGGATGGAACCCGGGTCCGCTGCAGACAAGGCAAAAGCCCGACTCGCTGTCCTATGGCTCTGACCCCAGAGAAGTATTTAACTTGGAAAAGAGGTGAGGAGGGAGGGCAAGTCTTTTGCTTCATTATTTGATTATCCAGTTACACGTGTGTTTACTTCTATCTACTCCCTCCCACGGGGCTGGAGCGATAGCACAGCGGTAGGGCGTTTGCCTTGCACGCAGACAACATGGCCGACCCGAGTTCGATTCCTCCGCCCCTCTCGGAGAGCCCGGCAAGCTACCGAGAGTATCTCGCCCGCACGGCAGAGCCTGGCAAGCTCCCCGTGACGTATTCGATATGCCAGACACAGTAACAACAAAAGTCTCCAATGGAGACATTACTGGGCCCACTTGAGCAAATCGATGAACAACGGGAGGACCATGACCGTGATAGTGAGATCATTGGAAACTTAACTATTGGGCTGGAGCGATAGCACAGCAGGTAGGGCATTTGCCTTCCAAGCGGCCAACAGGGCCGACCCGAGTTCGATTCCTCCGTCCCTCTCGGAGAGCCCTGCAAGCTACCGAGAGTATCTTGCCCGCATGGCAAAACCTGGCAAGCTACTCGTGACGTAACCGGTATGCCAAACACAGTAACAACAAGTCTCACGATGGAGATGTTACTGAGCCCGGTCGAGCAAATCGATGAACAACGGGAGGACCGTTTTGTTGTGTTGGAGACCGCAGCGTATTCACTCATTCACCGGACACTTTCTGAAGAGCTTCTGTGTGCAAGGCCCTCAGCATTTTACAGTGTGTGTGTGTGTGTGGGGGGGGGGGGGATGTGCTGATGAATCAATACTGACCCTACTGCTGGCTTAGTCCAAACCAGGAAAGATGAAGCACAGATTAGCTCCATTTAAAAAGAAGAGTTTGGGAGGGAGGGAGGGAGGGTGCTTGCCTTGCACGCAACTGACCTGGTTTCGATCCCCAGCATACCACATGGTCCCCTGTGCACCTCCAGGAGTGATCCCTGAGTACAGAGCCAGGAATAAGCCCTGAGCAATGCCAGGGGTGGCCCAAAAAACAAAACTCAACCAAATAAAAAGGACCTGTGAGGGTACAGCGGGTAGGACACTTGCCTGGCACACAACTGACCTGGGTTCAATACCTGGCACCCCCTGAGTGCAGAGCCAGTGGTGTCCCCCCCTTCCTACCCCTCCCCCCCCACACTAGAAGAGCTTGGTTCGAAGAGATTGTATGGGAGGAAAGGCACTTCCCTTGTTTAGCCCTTCAGCTGACCCCGTTCAACCCCTGGCATTGAACACGTTTTCCTGAGTTCCGCCAGGGGTCACTCTGGGGCATAGAGCTGGGAGCAGCTCCCGAGCACCACCAAGTGTGACCCCCATAAAAAAAAAAAAGGATGGAAAAGCAAAGCTAGTCAGAGATGCAGGGGTGTGGGTCAGTGGCAGAACATTTGTCTTGCGTGTGAGGCCTGGGTTTGGTCCAGAGCACTGCGGGGAGTGACCCCTGAACACTGAGTAGCTCCTGACCACAGCTGGGTGTGGCCCCCACCCAATTAGTAAAACAGAACAATGAGGAAAGAAAAAAGGGGGAAAAAAAAGAAAGAAGGAAGGAAGGAGGGAGGGAAAATAGATTTGGGAGAATATTCTGGGCTCATGAGTCAGACTCTCTGCGGATCCATGTCTCCTCAGGAAGCCGGGAGCAGAGCCGTGGCGCTGAAGATGCCACGGGCTCAGCCCAGCCCAGAAGTGAGCCCACGGGATTGGGAACACCCAGAGAACCCTTGGTCTGCAAGGGCGGCTCAAGGTTCAAATCCCAGTGCTGCCTTATCAGCAGCACGCCTTGGCCCTCCCTTGGAGTGTTCTCAGGGTGCGATCCTGCCCGTGAGGGGCAGGAAGTGCTGGCAGGGCACCTGGGTGGGGCAGGGTGACCGGGACAGGGACGGTGAGGATGCTGGTGCTGTGCTTCCGTCCAGCTTTTCAGCGCACTGGGCCTCCTCCCCAGTCACTTGCTTGCTGGCTCTTGGAGGGTGGTCCCTGGGCCAGCAGGATGCAAATCTGTGAGCTCTGTGGAGATGGGGCCCTGACACCTAGCCTGTCCCAGGCCTCCAGCCCCCCACCCCCCCACTGGCTGAGTGAGCAGGTCTCACTGTGCTGCCTCTTAACCTTCCCCTTCCCAGGCGGGGGTGAGGACTGGGTTTCACGCCTCCTGCCTCCTGGTCAGGGTGCCAGGGCAGAGAGGTGGACACATGAGGGGGATCCCGGGTGAGGGGAAGCAGGCCCTCAGGGAATGCTGGGGTACCAGGTCCCACAGCTGCAGGAGGGACCCTGGAGTGGGTTCCACCGCCAGCAGAGAAGCATCAGGAGACTGTTCTGTTTGGGCCACACCTGCGGGTGCCCAGGGCCTACCTCTGGCTCTGTGCTTTGGGGGGCGGGGAGTGTCGGGGGTCACACTGGGCCTCTGCATGCACAGCATGTGCTGCAGCTGGATGAGCCGTCGCTCTGGTGCGAGAGACCGCCCCCCTCCTTTCCTTTTCTGGGGTCCCAGTCAGTGGTGCTGGGGAGGAGCACTCCTGAAGATGCTCAGGGAGCACGTGGTGCTGGGGATGGAGCCTAGGGGCTGAGGGATGCCCACGGGAAGCTGTGCCCCCACTGCTCCAGGGAAGGACCCTCGCTATCTGACTGTGGGGGTTTCTTCTCACCCCTGCTCCCTGTCCTTCCCTCCGTGTGTGGGGCTGGAGAGAGTCCCTGACATTGTCCCGGCTGCCTGAAGTGCATTTGTCTCAGAGACCATGAGCTGATCCGACACGCGCTGTCTCCTGACCAGCCCAGGGGGTCTGATGCCCCCCTGCCTGTCGTGTCGCCCTCCCTCAGAATGTTCATCCAGAACATTCCTCACTCTGAGTCTCAGGGGCTTCTCCTGGGGCTTCTCTCCCATGGGGGCGGGGGGGAAGCTCCACAGGGCATCTGGCTGCACCCAGCCCGGCCCGCCACACCCCAGCCGTGCTGCCCCAGCCCCAGGGAGCCCCTGCCCCACGTCACCTCCGCCCTCGGCCGCCCCACAGTCTGAAAGGAGCAGCTTCTGGGGAATGACAGACACCCTGGAGGGGTGGGGTGCAGGCTCCGCTGGGTGGCACTCACGGAGCACATCAGCCAGAGCAGCTGCTCCGACACAGCCTTGGGTGCTGAGGGAGGTGACTGGAGGCTGCGCCGGACAGAGGCCAGGGTCACCATGTGGACTAGCACCAGGCCCCCGCACTGGGTGGGTGCTTGGTTATTTGAGGTACCCCATTGTGAGTGCTCCTTCTCCCCAACTCACAGCCCTTCCCAGACACTGCTGGGGACCCCCGCTTTCCCCTCCCAGATGCCTGCTGGGGACCCCCGAGTCCCCCCCCTCCAACCACCCGGTGCCATGTGTCTCAATGTCTTTACCCCCCAGCCAGGTGGACGCCATCAGTTCAGTCCAGGTGAAGCCTCTTACTGGGAGAACCGGAGAAGGCCGTCCTTGGGGACTCCCAGTGAGGGTCTAGGGGGTGAGCCCCGTGGGGTGGGGTGGGCAGGGCCCACTTTATGTACTTACTCATTTGGTTCTGGGGCCACTCCCGGGGTCTTGGATCTGGTGGCGGCCAAACTCCAGCTCCCTGCCCCGCCCCCTCCCGCCCGCGGGTGATCTGTGGGAGCAGGTGGGCCTGGCCTGTCTCTGGGAGGCCGCTGGCAGCTCCCTGGCCTCCTGCCACCTTCTGGCCTGACCCCTTGAGGACGCGTGACAGCCAGTGACTCGCTGCCCACGGGAACTGGAGGCTTCAGGGGCCCTGAGAAGCTCCCCAGAGCCAAGAGAGCCCGGGGGAGGCGGGGGCGGCAGGGCTGGACCGGTGGTCGGGGGCCGACGGGGAATCTTGGCTGTGGCTGGCAGGCAGGCACTGGGCCCTTAGGTGGCCGCGGTCCAGCCGCAGCGGCGGCGCAAGTGGGGGGCTCCAGGAAAAGGGGGCAGAGGGCAGTGTGGGGAGAGGTCAGGACCGGGTGATAACAGCTGGCGCGGGAGGGGCGGGCGCGGGGGCGGAGCAGCGGGCGGAGAGGCCGGGGTGTCTGGGCTTCCTCCGAGCCTGCTCAGGTGACCCGCGCGCGTCTCAGCCGGCCGGCGGGGGGCTCGCAGCAATGATCCAAAATGTGGGGACGCAGCTGCGAAAGGTACAGAAGGTGGGCGGGGGGGGGGGGGGGAGGGTGCGGCAGCGGGCGAGGCTGCAGGAGGTCGGGGCTCCAGAGAGAAGATTGCAGTTTCCACTTGTAGTCGGCAACTCTGTTCCCCGGGGGACCCTTGGCGCCCTCGCCGCAAGGAGAACGCGCAGCACGGGGAGGGGGCTGGTGTGGACCGGCGACAGTCCCGCCCAGCAAGCCCCGGCACCCCAGGGCTGACCTCCCGGAGGAGGTCGGCAAGTTTTCTCCTATCCCGGGGCGCTTCTCCCCGGGAGCTGGTGGTGGGGGGTGGGGGTTGCCGGGGTGTAACTCTTGAGCTGGGACTCAGAGGCGCGCAGGGTCCAGAGCGTGCGCGCGCGCGCGGGTGTGCGTGTGCGCACAGATGGGGGGAGTCCAGGGCTGCAGGGACAGTCTCCTCTGCAGATGGCAAGTGCCAGACAGGTGTCCCCGAGGTGACTCCGCAGAGTTCACTGCCCGGGAGCCTCTTCTCAGGGACTTTGGAGCTGAGATTAGAAGCTGAGGCATAAAATAGACCCAGCGCTAAGTGCCAGGCCGGGTCTTTGATCTGGTGAAGGGAGAAGGTTCCTGACTGGGGGAGGCCTCAGGGGCTGCCCTCTGGGGCAAATGCACGCAGCTTTCTCCCCACCCTCTGCTCCACGCCAGGTTAGCAGCCCAGCACCTCCTCAATCTCCACTCCCATGGTGTGTGTGTGTGTGTGTGTGTGTGTGTGCGCGTGCACATTTAACCCTTGCTGCTGTGTCAGTTCCCACCTGTGCTCTTCTGCAATACACAGCGTACCTCTGCTAGGAGTGACCTCTACTTCCTATCGTCTGGGACTCAGTTCTGGTGCCACCTCCTTCAGGCAGCCTTCCCTGAATTCCTTCAGTACAGGGATACCCTTCTCGCGCGTCCGTCTCTCTCCCCAGCCAGGGAGTTGCATGAAGCCCATTTTAGCGCTTCCTGCCTGGAGTCCCCAGAAATGCATCCTGAGTAAATGGGCCCTGGGGTGCTCCTCAGGAGACTCGGCAAAATTGAGCAGCTGGAGAGAGCATCTTCCAGGAGGGGCGGTGCTGTATGGGGGTCTTCTGCCCCACAACTCTTCCCCACTGATCCTTGTCAGTGACTGGGGACTGGAAGGGAAAGGGACTTAATTCCTGTCGCCATTGTACTAGGGACTAGGAACAGTGGTGCGTCCTACACCAGCCCTGGGTCCCATCATCTCTGCCGTAGAGGAGCCAGGGAGATAGTGGAGGGTGTGGGCTTCACGTGGCCAGCTCTGGCTCGATCCTTGGCGCCCACCAGGTGGACCTCTTGAGACAGAGTGGGGAGGGGCACGGGGCAGTGGCACTGAAGGAAATGTTGAGCGCTAGCTTTTATGACGTGCGTTTGGGTTGGGCTGCAGCTGCCAAGAGCTTACCTGCGTTGCTCGTGCTAACTGCCAAACTGAAACCCTTCAGAACTGCAGATTGCTCTGGGACGGGCACTGTGCGCTCTCACCAAGTGCTCCCACCGAGTGCTCTGGGACAGGCCCAAGTTCTGGGATAGCACTGTGATCACACCCAGGTCCCAGAGGGGAAACTGAGGCTCCAAGAGCCCTGTATGTCATGGGTGGCCCTGCCAGGATTTGAACCAGCGCTGTCCAGACTTAGCCCTGCTGCCACTCTGCTGTGGGGCTTTGGGAGCAGAGGGTGTGCGGCCTGGAAGTGGGGTCCACTAGGTGACAGAGGTGACCCCAAGCCAGCAGAGAGCGCTCTGACCTTGGCCGCCACCTTGTGATTGCTGCTGGGTGGTGAGCTCCTAGTGCAGCTTCTGAATTCCTTGGGCTCCCCGAGAATGCAGGGTTTGGAGCCAATTTCCGGGTTGTTCCTAAGGCTGTTTTGAATGAAAAGGGAGAAAATTTCCACACCCTTTAAATGCTCTTCACTGGAGTCAAGTGAGCTGGGTTGAATGGGGCAGAAGGGACTCCTCAGCCCACAAGCTTGGCTTCAGGGACTGGGGTCACACTGCTGTGTACATTGACCACCCCCCCCCCACAGTGCTCAGGGTCACTCCCAAAGATACTCAGGGCAACACACTGGCAGAAACCAAACTGGGGGTCCCCGCCTGCCAAGCACACTCTCCAGCCCTTTGAGCACCCCCTGCCCACCTCCCAGGGTTAGCGGGGCCCTGGGCAGTATCTGGGTAGGACAGAGCAAGGGCACTTGGAGAGGATGGCCTGGCTCCTCCCCCCACGAGGACTGGCAGACACTCAGCACCATGTCTGTGCGAGGAGTGGAGGGAATGCATGGAGGGGGCACGCCGGCTGCCATGCTGATGACGGAGGTGGAGGGGAGCTGTGTGCCCATCTGGGGTGCTGGGAAGGTCCCCCTGCCGCATGCCAGTCTTCTCGTCTGGACCCCTTTCTCCTCTATCACGTGGAGTGTCTGCACCTGGTGTGAGTCCCACGCTGGCACAGAGATCTGGGCAGCGGCACATGCTGGCACCGAGCAGGGGCTGGGCAGGTCGTTCATGGCAGGTGCTGGTCTATTCTGGAAATGGTGACGTGCTACTGGGCCCCCGAGAAGCCCCTAGCCCTGGCACCGTTGCCACCAGGCTGTTGGACGGGAAATGGCCATGAGCATTGCGTGTACCCATGACGTTTCCCCTGTTTGGCTGTGGGTACTCTCTTACCCGACCTCTTCTTCTTTTTTTATTTTATTTATTTATTTGTTTATTTTTCTTCTTTTTTAAAATTGAATATCCGTGAGATAGAGCATTACAAAGCTGTTCATGACTGGGCTTCAGTCATACAATGTTCCAACACCCATCCTTCATCAGTGTACATTTCCCAGCGCCAGTGTCCTCAGTTTCCTTCCATCACCCCCTCCCCCCCCCCGTCCCCTGCCTTCCTCTATGCTCTGTGACAGGCGTTTTTCTCCTCTCTCTCTCTCTCTCTCTTTCTCTCTCTCTCATTTTGAGGTCCATCCCCCCCTTTTTTTGCAGTCACACCCTGCGATGCTCAGGGGTTATTCCTGGCTCTATGCTTAGGAATTACTCCCGACAGTGCTTGGGGGACTATATGGGATGCTGGGGATTGAACCCCGGTCAGCGCGTGCAAGGCAAACGCCCTACCCACTGTGCTATCACTCCAGCCCCAAGGCCACCCCTTCTGAGGGTCTCTGTTAGGGTAGGGGTGTGAAGGTCGCTGCCTCGGCTGCTCTTGGATTAGAATCACTTTTTCATCCCATCGTTTACCATGGGACCCGGACCCAGCTGCTCCCCCTTCCCCTCTGGGTGCTCCTGGGGGATGCCCCAGCCTGGGTCTTGGCTCCTGAGAGCTGGGTGTTTGCCAAGAGTTCTGGTATGGCCTGGGGGTTGGTTCCGAGGGGGTCGTACCGCCCACGGTGGAGGAGGAGGCAGGTAGACCATAGCTGCCACGTCGAGCATGTTGACTGATGGGTGAGTGACCGGGTCAGCTCCAAGGGGCCCAGAGGTGACCCCAGAAAGCTTCCTGGGAGACGCACCATCAGACTTTGGGCTTCAGTCTGTTGGGAAGCCACAGTCTGTTGGGGGCAGACGCCCCTCGTGCCTTTTCTCCCTTCTTTAGCACCCGCTTCCCCGTGAGCCCCCGGCCCACCTCCTTGGGAACCTGTCTGAGAGAGCACTGTGGACTGCTGGAGGGCTGGGTGTGAGTGTGTTGGGGAGACGCAGTGAACAGAAAGCCACATAAATGCACCCTGAAAATCCATCCGGTGGGAACTATAATGAGCAAATGACATTTAAGTGTGCCAAGCATGCCTGGACGCATTTGCTACTTCTTACAAGTCTGTGATGTGGGTCGTAATATCGTGCTCGTATTAAAGATGAAATGGAAACAGAGAGGTTAAGTGATTTGCCTGAGGTCACACAGTGATTAAGTGGTGTTAACTGCTGAGTGGGTGAGAATAGGCTGCTGTGGGGAGGGTGGGGAGGAGGGGAGGAGCTGGGCCCACTGGCAGCTCTCTGCCGTCCAGGTGGGCTGCTTGGTGGTGGGGACCAACCTGACGAGGAAGGAGGGTGGGCGCAGCAACTGAAGGTCTGGGGTGGGTGGAAATGTGCCTGGGTGCCCTGTAGGTGGATTAGGGGGTCACGGTGTGGGAGCTCTGGGGTCCTTCCTACCAGACCTTGTGCTCCTTGGGGGTGCTCGGGTCCCCAGGCGCAGTCCTTGCTCCTGAGCTCAGCCCCCGGACCTCATGTCACCGTAGTGGTCTCCGTGTGGCCAACATGGAGGGCGTCCAGCCTCTGCCCTGTCCACCCCCTTCTCTCACAGGGCCCCTGGCGTAGTGGGGCAGGGAGAGGTGAGGGGTCGTGCCTGGTCCCGGAGCGAGTCTCTGGCCCTCCCGCCCAGACAGCTTCCCCGCTCCAGGCCCTGCACACTCTCACGGCTGACGGGACGCTGGTGCCGTCCCCGCTCCTGGCGGGGCCCTGTCCAGCTCCGAGCCTGGTTCCTCTGGCCAGGCAGCACCCTCAGTGCCCAGCGACTGCTCCTCGTCCTGTTGGCAATGGAGCCGACAGAGATGGGCTCAGAGACTCCACCTACTGCTCCCCCCTCTCGCGGCCTCAGTTTCCTCACTGGGAATCCAAGTTTCTTCCTCCTGCGGTTCTTGCTAGATCGTTGGCAGATGGAAAACTTTGTAGGATGGAGAACTTGGTCTTCCTTCCTTCCTTCCTTCCTTCCTTCCTTCCTTCCTTCCTTCCTTCCTTCCTTCCCTCCCTTCCTCCCTTTCTCCCTTTATCTCTCCTTCTCCTCCCTCCGTCCTCCCTCCCTCCTTCCTCCCTCCCTCCCTCCTTCCCTCCCTTCCTTCCTTCCCATACTCAGCAGTGCTCAGGGCTTACTCCTGGCCCTGTCCTCAGAGATCACTCCTGGTGGTGCTGAGGGGACCCGTATGTGGTGTCAGGGTCTGCACTGGGGTCGGCCACCCGCAAGGCAAGAGCCTTCACCCCTGTACTATCTCTCCAGTTCATCTTTTCTTTTT